TCCTCGCAGCAGCAAGACAGGAGGGAAGCAGAGCTGAGCTGAGCCCAAGGCGGCACTGGACGCTCCTGCCCCCTGAGGACCACTGTGGTCTCCCCGTGGCCCAGTTCTAAGAGACACATGGGGGTGGACACCCAACATTCAGCATGGATTAATGCAAAATAAGAGAACTTCCTCTCAAACGATACTATCCCATACCATGGTTATTTGACACAAGTGAAATGTAGCCGGTATGACTGACGAATCAAATTTGTTTAGTCAAAGCTGAAATTGAGACTCACTTTAACTTCCAGGAAAAGGACTGGAAGGAGTTCTCCTTCCTTCTTCCGTCAAGAGCAGCCAGAATGCCAGGACACGATGTGCAAAATCCTGAGAGGACACTGCAAGTTGGAGGGAAGGCGGAGCAGCCACGCAGCAGCTCGGTGCCTTAAAGCAATGCAATGTGATGTGTTTTCTTTTGATTCAGTATTTCGTACTTGAAGCCGAAGAATCGAAAAGCCTCTAATTGCCAGTGACTGCTGACAAAAAGGGTCCAAACACAAACTTTCTCTGTCCTGTCTCTTGAAGGACAGGAAAAGGGCTAGGTTAGCATGGGCACTTTTAGATGACAACTGTTCGTCTCCGTCAAGTCTAAAGGCCGAATGGGGAGCTCAGAATTCCACCATTGCAAGGCTGTGATGGGCCCTGGGAACACTGCCAGTCCCTTTGGCTCAGCAGGCCTGGCCCTGTGGTGGCGCAGGTGGAACCTGGACTTGGATATACACCTGCCAATCACGAGGCATCCCGTTGCTCCCTCCCAGGTGTGTGTGTGTGTGTGTGTGTGTGTGTGTGTGTGTGTGTGTGTCCTCGAGGAGAGGCAGGCATTTTCCCAGGGGATAATGAGACCACCCCAGGCCAGCAGAAGCAAGCAGTTTTCCCTGGTGTTGTCATGGCAATGTCAAGACAAGCCAGCCAAAGCAGAATCAGAGTCTCAGACCCAATTCAGACATATCCGAGTGGCCAAGCGTCACTCGTGACACCCAGAATGGAGATCTCAGAGCTGAGTGACAGAGAGTCGCTAGGTGGACACACCAAGATGGCAGATGTTAAAGCTATCTGATATTTTCTTTTTTTTTTAAAGATTTATTTTTATTATTTTTTTATTGGAAAGGCGGATATACAGAGAGGAGAGACAGAGAGGAAGATCTTCCGTCCGATGATTCACTCCCCAAGTGAGCGCAACGGGCCGATACTATGCCGATCCGAAGCCAGGAGCCTCTTCCGGGTCTCCCACGCGGGTGCAAGGTTCCCAAAGCCTTGGGCTGTCCTCGACTGCTTTCCCAGGCCACAGGCAGGGAGCTGGAAGGGAAGCAGGGCTGCCGGGATTAGAACCGGTGCCCATATGGGATCCCGGGCGTGCAAGGTGAGGACCTTTAACCACTTGCGCCACCGCGCCGGGCCCAAAGCTGTCTAATATTTTCAAATCAGTTACAATAAAAAGGCTCCAGTGAACAACCAGAAACGCTCCTGAACCATCCATCTGAAACAAGAAATCCTCAACAAACATAAAGATTCCACATTAAAAATTTAGGACAAAATATTATCCCCAAAAGAAAACGCATAGCGGATGGGCTCAAAATGAATGAATGAATGAATGAAAAGGCGAAAAGGCCAGAACAGAGAAGCAGTGAGCTGGAAGACAGAGCCACACACACCAGTCCGTGTTAACAACAGACAGAAGCCAAGCCCGAGGGTTGTAACTGAATGGCCAGTATTCAGACTGTTAAAATCTTGGAAACAGTGTAAGAAGGAACGGGAAGACGGAAAAGCACTGAGTGAAAAACCGCTCGAGTTTCCCAAATCTAGAGGATGAAATGACCTCCAGATCCAAGAACCAAGTAAGCCACCAACAAGACAATCCCCCAAACACCAGCAAGACAACATGCAAGTTTTTTTTCTTTAAGACGTATTTATCTTTTTTTTAATTGGAAAATCAGATACACAGGGAGGAGAGACAGAAAAAGATCTTCCATCTGTTGGTTCACTCCCAAAGTGACCACCATGGCCAGAGGTGAGCTAATCCGAAGCCAGGATCCTGGAGCCTCTTTCAGGTCTCTCACATGGGTACAGGGTCCCAAGGGTCCCAGTCCTTTGACTGCTTTCCCAGGCCACAAGCAGGGAGCTGGATGGAAGGGGAGCCGCCAGATTAGAACTGGCGATCATATGGTATCCCAGCACGGGCAAGGCTAGGACTTTAACCACTATGCTATCGTGCTGGGGCCCTAAAAGACGTTTCTAAAAAGAACATGCCCTGCACACAGAACCTTAGAACATCAGGAAGAACAGAATCAGCAAACACCTGTATACACACATCCCTTGTTTTCTAAAGCAATCTTTTTTTTAAAAAAAAAAAATTACTTATTTTTATTGGAAAGGCAGATATACAGAGAGGAGGAGAGACAGAGAGGAAGATCTTCTGCTGGTTCACTCTCCAAGCAGCTGCAATGGCTGGAGCTGTGCCGATCCGAAGCCAGGAGCCAGGAGCCTCTTCCAGGTCTCCCACGCAAGTGCAGGTTCCCAAGTGGGGAGCTGGATGGAAAGCGGGGCTGCCAGGATTAGAACGGGCGATCATATGGAAACCCAGGTGTGCAAGGCGAGGACTTTAGCCGCTAGGCTATCGCGCCGGGCAGTCTTTTTATTTTTTAAAGAATTATTTATTTTTATTGCAAAGTCAGATACACAGAGAGGAGAGACAGAGAGGAAGATCTTCCGTCCGATGATTCACTCCCCAAGTGAGCGCAACGGGCCGATACTATGCCGATCCGAAGCCAGGAGCCTCTTCCGGGTCTCCCACGCAGGTGCAGGTTCCCAAAGCTTTGGGCTGTCCTTGACTGCTTTCCCAGGCCACAGGCAGGGAGCTGGAAGGGAAGCGGGGCTGCTGCGCCGATCTGAAGCCAGGAGCCTCCTCCCTGTCTGTCATGTGTCCCAAGGCTTTGGGCCGTCCTCAACTGCTTTCCCAGGCCACAAGCAGGGAGCTGGATGGAAAGTGGAGCAGCCAGGAAGTGAACCGGCGCCCATATGGGATGCTGGCACGTACAAGGCGAGGACTTTAGTTGCCAGGCCATTGCGCCAGGCCCTGTATAGCAATCTTGATGGTTGAAAGAAAAGTTCCACCCCAAGGCAACTATGTAGGTTGCCTTGTAACTAGACAAGTATTACACACCTGGCACAACAGCAGCCAATTGTTGGCTGGGATTCTGGGCCTGGTTAATGCCTATTCCAGGCTGGGGATGATACACCATGCAGTACCTAGGGGGAATGGTGCAGCGGTGGGCCAGGTAGGCCCTGCACCAGCTGGCGCACTCGAGAGCCAGGTCTGAGGACCTCCCATGGGAGGCTTCTTAGGGGTCACCCCAACTAGTTTGCTGTACTCATGCCCCAACTTCAGGGTGAATCACACAGTCCAACCCGAGCCCAGGTTGCAAGACGGGGTCATCTCAGTTGCCGACTTCTGTGCAAGCCTAAACAGCATACTCAGAAGAACAGGAAAGACGAGACGGCTGGGTCATTTAAGGCGACGGAGGACTTGAGGCACTGCTTCCAAGGATAGGCGTTATGTAAAGCAAGCACCTGTGTCTGCACACACTGAGGTAGACCCGGACAGGCGAACAGGCCTTAGAACGTCTCACCTCTGGTGCCAAGAAGCTGAAAACTGAGATCACTCCTTCCCTTCACCAGGGTCTCCAAGGCAACAGCACATGGCTGACTGTCCACTGGCACTGATGCAGCCGGACAGCAGGCGGCCCCTCCCCTGAGGACAAGCAGAGACCCTCTCCATCCCATCCGAGGCCCACGTGGCTCTGCACCACCCCGCACCTTTACAATAAATATCAAAACAAAAGGATGCGAGATGAGAATTACGTTGTCATTCAGGGTCAAGTGGCACTCTCTCCTTAGTAGTGGATCACTCGTATTCATCCTACAGAGCACTTCCCTTCCTCTCTACACCAAATAAACGCATCCATTAAATTTAAGCTTCCACTTCGGGAAATGCGAAGTTCTCTTGCTAAACAAAAGGACTGAGAGAGACAATAGGATTACGTATTACATACTGCTGGTTACCATTGTTGACTTACCAGCAAAGATCATTTTGACTGTGTTAAATCTTGACAGTGCAAGCAAAATATTAGTCTCTGTACAAATGTTAGATTTGGTCATCCCGGAATGTATACATAAACTTCAAAATATTACATTGCACAATGATAACTATGCAGTCAGTGAAAAAACAAAAAAGTAGTTCCCAAGCCTTTACACTTAGTTTGCAAGGCTTAGCTGGAGGAAACAGGATGAATTTGATAAACTTCATCTCAGAAATTACAGGTGGAAACGATTAAGTCCAGAGCGGATTCAGAGGGGGCTCTCCAAGCTGGCTACAGCTTTTTCTTCTTGATCTGCATTTAGATTTATCAAGTTGTCTCTTGACATTGTTGTGTCTTGACAATACAAATGTGAAGGAAATTTAGAAGGCATTTAATAAGCCATTTCTTCCCTCAACAGACTCCAACCACACCCAACAATGCCACAGCTATGTTGCAGCCAGGTCTAGCTGTTTCTTTGTTGCTCTTATACAATCTGTTCCAAGGAAATCTAGGAGCAATTCTGATGATTGTTCTCAGTGCTCTGCTACCTGGCCAGGAGCCTAACCAAGCAGATCGCCCTAGCTCATTCACGCTCTCACTGGCTGTATGTGGTACCCCTTGTGGAGGTGTTCTTCATGTTCGGCTTACGGCATAGAAGTCGGTCACTTTTGACAACGTGATGTGAGGCTTTTGTGTCCCTCCTCCAAACCCTTCCCAAGAGAGAACCCTGTTTGGGAAGCTGTGCTGCCTCCCATCCCGTGACCAACACGGCTCCCCAGTAATTGTAATGCAGGAACATGTCGGCGGGGGGGCGTCACTACAGCCTGTTGGTAAGACCTGCCAAATCTCAGTCAAACATGACACCAACCAACGGATTTGGATTGAAAAATTTTAATAATAAATTGTGCCAGTAGAAGCTTTTCAAAGGCAATGATATATCAATAAATAATAGTTAAATTGAGTTCCTGAGAAAGAACCTACCACATAAAAGCATGTCGGAGCGCTGTAAGTAACAGCTTGGCATCACTGTAAAATAGAAATACTGACAGTGACGACGCAGGCGCAGCAGAGGTCGGGATCTGCCATTCATACACATGTAAACCAGTACACAAGAGTTTCTTTTTTTTAGTTTAAACATTGATAAAGTGTTGCTTCCTACATACACACTAAATAATGGATACATTATTGCTAAGAACTTCAAGGAAAAAATATGTGGAGTAACATAATGAAAAATACAATGCGTCATATTTTCTTAAAAAAAGCAAAAAATTTAAATTTTACTCAAATATAAATCACTTTAAATAGGAACCATACTAATTTGAAATAAGGAATAGTTTGTGTGTTTCTCTATGCAGTTATATATATACATCTATAGGTCTAAGAAATATGTATGGCTTACTCTCCATTCCACTGTCACTGAGGATCTTGGCCTGTTTACAAAGATTAGAAAAATGTATGGTTTAAGATTCAACACTTGAAGGCACACTCAAACACCATGAGAGGGAGCCCTAGGAGGACTCAGGCTCACGCTGACGCCCCAGCTGTGCACAGAGCCAGAGGGGCAGTGGGCGCTGAGTCCTTTGCTGCCGGCAGGCTGTGCGGGCTGATGTGCTGAAGCAGGGCCAGCGTCGCCGAGTCCCACAGCCAGCTATGCCCACACTGCCAGGGAAGGAGGACAGGGGCCCAGCAGGAGCTTCCGGCGGCTGGCACAGCTATGTCGATCCCTTTTGTTGTCTGTAAGCTTAGTATATGACAGATGTTGAGCTTGACCCCCCCCAAGGAATCCAATCAGTCATGCCTGAGACACACACACGCGCACACAAAGATCGCTTCTCAGCTCTGCATCTGCATTTCTTCCACAAAACAAGGGATGCGACCACAGCGAAGAAGTCACCCACACGACACGTTTTATCAGCACACTGTCTTAGAATACCTCATTTAAAAACACTCGGTAAAAATGCATTCACAGGGCCTGCTGTGAAAAGGCAAGATATGGTAATTTTATAATAGAACACCCTGCTCGCGTATCCTCTCCACACCCACACCATCGCCTTAGTCACACTTCCTATTGTTCTAGAATATGCAAAAGCAAAAAAAAAAAAAAAAAAAAAAGCAGCTTAACATTATATCACAATTCTGAAATGTGGGAAAAGATACAAAAACCCAAACCGTTGCCACCATGGTTTCCACGACGTCTGAGCGGAGTGGTGTCTTTTTCAACTTTTTACATTATTGCACGGACATCTCTCTCATATGCTCTTCAGTTCTTACGTTCCTTCCTAAATGCGAGTTAAGTGCTACGGCTAAAATACAAATGTAGAAAACAGCAGCATGATTTGTCCAAGTTAATCCCTATAATTTAGTAAGAAAAAAAAAATGGAGATAAACAAAATAAGTGCTCTTTCTAAACTGTACTAAATGTTTAAAAGTATCATTTTAATGCAGTGAAGGTCCTCGAACGCCAACTCCAAACCATGTCGACCCTTCCCCTCTGCGCATCCACCAGTGTCCAGCCACGCAGCGGGCTGGACCCGAGTCCTAAGTGTCTGTCTTGGGTTTCCATGGCCAAGAACAGACCGAGAAGCAACACATGGCGTAACGAGGGGACTGACCGGTGCCCGCCAGGGGCTGGTGGCAGGGCCGCACGGGCTACACGTAGACGGGCTGGCAGCCCTCGGTCTGATCCCCCAGCTCCGAGTGTTCTGCATCTGGGCTCTCAGACCGGGAAGCTTCAGCCCCCGGAGGCTTTGGGCATCGGAAGGGGTAGCCGTTGTCGTCGAAGAACCTCCGGAAGGTGAACTCGTAGAAGGCGTGCTCCGGGTGCTTGTTATTGGGTGCGGTGAGCGTGTCCCAGGCCTTGGCACTCCCTTCACTAGCCTCGTTCCAGGGACTTTCTTCATCGACGGGATCAAAGTTGGAGGTGTCCATGGGGTGGCTGATGGTGGGCACGTAGGGGGCCGGCTGCTTCCGGATGTCGCTGGAGAAGTCGATGGTGCTGAAGAAGGGGTGGGCCTTCAGGTCGTCGGCTCCGTCCCTCCCCAGGCGGCAGTCGGCGGCGCAGCACAGCTTGGTGATGAGGTCCCGGGCCTCGGGGCTCAGCTTGACCTGCGCTGGAATGTGGAGCGTGTTCTCCCAGTTGATCACCTGGAGAGCGGACACAACACGTGAGCACAGATCTTTTTTTTTTTTTTAATGTATTTGACAGACAGAGTGACAGAGATCCTCCGTCTTCTCACTCACGCTCCCCAACGCCTGCAGCAGCTGAGGCAGGGCCAGGTACAAGCTGGGGTCAGCAAGGAACTCCATCCACGTCTCCCATATGGCCGGCAGAGACCAGCTGTTGCTCAGCACCAGTAGGGAGCTGGGTCAGAGCAGAGGACCTGGGTGCAGACCAGGGACTCCATTCGGCATGTGGGTGTGACCCCTTGGCCACAACACCTGGCCCCAGTGTGATTTTACTGAGTGGGTCCTTCCCAGCCAGCAGTGAGGGACATGCAGGCCTCCAAACAGAGACAAAAGGATAGTCATACCGCTTGGCTAAAGAATCCTGTGCCTTCTATATCCAGGTCTGGGAGTTTGCTTGGGACCACTGGGCTCAACTCGTAAGATTTGTGGTCCAACCTTGGAATGCATGTTCCAGGGCTGGGCCTCCTCGATTGCTGATGCCTGTGCAGTGGGCAGCATGCCCAGGTGCACAAGGGGGACACGATGGCCAGCTCATTTAGGCCTGCAGAGGACACTGAGTGACATGTCCGAAGATGGAGAGCAGAGCAGGTTGAGAGAGCAGCTCTGGCTGAGCTTTGCAGCAGTGTCTGGCTGGGCGTGTGCACTGGGGTGGACTCTGTCGGCCAGTAGACGTTGGAAGGATTTCCTCAATCAGCATCTTGGAACTATGAAAACCACTCAAGCAATCCCCTCGGAACATTCCTCTCCACGTAGGGGTCTCTAGGAGGACATCAAGCGGACAACCCCATCCCAGGCACCTATGTGGTTTGGCAGCTGGCAACAGCCTTCTCCCACTCCTTCCTCAGACACAGAAAAGGGAAGAAAGGGAAAACTGGAAGCTTTTGTCCTGCCCGCCTTTCCCCACGCCTCGACCCTCCCCAGCAGAAAGACTCAAAACGGGCACTTGGACACCCACTAACACAGTGGCCAGCAGGTGGAAATCAACCAGACATCTCATAATGGGTGAATGCATGAACAAGTATGTTCTATATATTCAGCTCCTTGAGGCAGTTTGACGGGGCTGCAACTTGAAGACATTCTGTAAGGGAAATGAGCCAGTCACCAAAGGACAAGTCCTGCCTGATTCCACTTCTGTGGTGTACCTAATAGTCAGGTGCAGAGACAGAGCAGGATGGAGGGCCAATGAGACTGGGGCAGGGGGAACAGGCAGTAACTAATGGCTACACAGTCCCTGTCTGGGGTGATGACGCTGTGTAGAAATAGTGACCATGGCACCCCTTGGTGAACACCATGGAGTTGCACACCCTTCAAAATGGCTACAATGGTAATTTATGATAAGCTTATTTTGCCACAGTAAAAGAGATCTGAGTTATTATCATGCGAATAATTCAGTCAGTGGTGCAGAAATTCCATTAGGATGGACATAGTGTCTAACTGCCATTTTATTGTTCCTGGAGTGAAGCTAAGCCTTAATTGGGGTCTAATTAAATGGTTTTTAAGCTGAGGCTCCACCACAGACTCCAGGGACAGGGAAACTTCTAGACTTCCCTGTCAGTTGTTCAAGCCACTGCAGACCGCAGATGCTCAAATGGCTCACTTGTTCTGGGCAGCCAATGGCTGTAGTCCTAAAACCAACCTCCCTACACAGCTGATCCGCTCCAAGCACACAGCCATTGCCACAGTCAGAGCTCACAGGTTCTGGCAGTCCTTTTCAGGGTGGGGGCCGGTGACTTAGTCGAACAAAACTCAACACAAACAAGTCATGGCGATATCGCCGTCTCAGCTTGTCCGGTCTACAATGGCATTCTGGCCGTCTTCACAGGGCGAGGCCTAATGCAGACTGGGCACTCAGGCCACTGCCCACGGCTCACCTTCAGCTGCGTTTCTGTGGGCGTGGGCGCCAGGAAGGGTGGCTGCCCCACGAGCATCTCGAAGAGAATCACGCCGACGCTCCACCAGTCGCACAGCTGTGTGTACCCTGCAAGACAGAGTCGGCTCAGCCTGGGTCCTGGGGCAGGTGCAGGCTTCAAGGGCCCCGGACACACGGATTTCCTGCTGGTGGAGGAGGACGGAAGCACTGAAGCTGCCCTGGGCAGGTGCAACAGAAGCCCTTCCCCGCTCCCTGAGCCAGGACGTGGTCCCAGGTTAGACCTCTGGGGGAGCCCAGCTGAGGACAATCAGGACCGGAAGGCTGCAGGGCCCATTCATCTTGGGTTTTCCTCAGGGCTCCCTGTCTCAGCCTGATCTAACTGAGCCCTTTCTAAGTACAGACAAGGCACAGGTTAGTCTCAAGGGGCGAGGGGGTGGCAACAGGCAGCAGCAGTGGCCAGCGTGGGGCCCCTTTTGCCCCTTGCCCTTGGAGGCTGTGAAGGGTGGCAGGTCTTGGCTGCTCTGGCAGCTGCACAGGGGAGGGAGCGGCAGTGACGAGAGCTTTCCCAGCGCCAGGGCTAGTGTCTGCAGCTTTTCATGGCAGATCCTGCTCCACCTGTCCACACGGGGCTGAAAGGCTCGGGGACTCATAGAAAACTGGGACTCCAGCCTCCCCTGGCTGGCTCCTAGTCCCTCACCGGACACATGTGTGAAACAAGAAGCTACGAGTCTGTTACGTGGAGCCAGAGCCCCAAGCCACTGTCCGGAGGGGCCAGGTACAGCTGCTACAGCACCACCCTAGCTCTGGCCTGCCAGGTCAATTTGATCAAAGGGACTGTTTACCCGGAAGATGGGCTCTGCAGTGCTGCAGCAACTTCACTCCTGGGCATGGTCTGGCAGGAGACCTGGAGTGTAATGCTCTTTAGAGGAGCTCTACTCAGCACCCTGCCCACAAGGCACCTGGCGAGCAGGTGCCCGAGACGGTCAGCTGGGGCAGGCTGAGTGGTGCTCCTGCTGCCCTTGGAGTTGCCGCCACCTCAGACTCTGAAAAAACCAGTTCAGGGGATCCCCAACCCACTGCTGGCCTGAGCGAGGGCAGGTGGATTCGGGACCAGAAAGCAGTATTCCCTCCCCCAGCTGAGGGGAGCCCTGCCGGAGGCCCAGGTATCAGGCAGAGAGCACAGCTCTGGGAAGGACACAGTGTGTGTGAGCCTCCCCAAGACACCAGCCGAGGTCAGGGGCCCAGCCTTGGGGCCCGGTGCAGCAGCATGGCTGTACCTTTGCGGAGCAGCACCTCCGGCGCGATGTAGTTGGGCGTGCCGACTAGCGAGTGCGCCAGACACCTTTGGTGCTGCTTGCGTGCCCGCTGCTCCAGGGTCTTGAGCCTGTCCCCGCACCGACAGTTGGACACATCGTCCCAGAGGTCGCTGGGCTCCATGCTGTCCTGCCTGGCATGGTTCCCTTCATCCGGGAAGAGACAGAGGAAGGAGAAAGAAGAGCAGAGTGAATTGTCAGCACTTGGCGATGCGACGCACTCACAGCCCAGAGCAGCCCTGCAGCCGTCAGGCAGGGCCAGACTCCTTCCTGGAGGCACCACACATGCAGCTGCCATGCCTGGCTGGCACCGAGGCCCAGGCAGGCAGCCACGCACCTGTGCCAAGAGAGGGCCAGGACTCCCCCGGGGCAGCAGGGCGTGCAGGATGGGCACGGAGACTTCCTTCCCTGCACTCCTCGGGCCTGGTGCCCTGTCTAATGTGCCAAGAGAGGAGCTTCAGAAATCTGAGCGGGCTTTACAAAAACACAAAAAATGGTCCCAGCACCAGAAAATGGCAACGAGAAGGAGAGTCTGAAGTTTGTTAAAACTTCTCCAGTTAGGGTATTACAATAACTACCTGAAGAATCCCAGCTAAAGAACAACCAGCTGGCTTTGCAAACGTTTCAAATAGCAGGATTATCTGAAAAGCACTGGAATATACGCTAGATGGACTCAGGCTGGTCTCAGAGGACCACTTCGTGGGGGCGGAGTGGGGGAAGAGTCTGTGTGTCCAGACGTTTCACCAGGGCACGGTGGTGGCTCTGCACACAGGGCCTGCGACATTCCACTGGTGTTTACACTAATTAACAATTAAACCCACTGTCGAAACAAGGCATCTCACGCGTGTCACACTACTCCTTCAAGGAGAAGGGTCTGTCCCTGTAAACCACAAAATAATGCAGGCACGGACAACCTCAGAATGCCCACGGGCCGCCCCGTTGGGAAGGAGTGACCTCTGATGGCTGTGATGGGTCTTGGGGTGGGCCGGGAGGCAGCCCGTCCAAGACAGTACCTTTCTGGTAGTATTTGGAGTTGTGAGTCCACCTGAACCCAGTGCAGAGGCCAAAGTCGGTCAGTTTGATGTGGCCGTCCAGGTCTATCAGAATGTTGTCGGGTTTGATGTCACGGTGGATGAAACCCATCTTGTGGACGCTCTCGATGGCCAGGGTCAGCTCGGCGATGTAGAAGCGGGCCAGGTGCTCGGGGAAGACCTCCATGCGGATCAGCAGGCTCATCATGTCCCCGCCGGGGATGTAGTCCATCACGAAGTACAGGCTGTCCTTGTCTTGGAAGGAGTAGTAGAGTTTGACTACCCACTCGTTGTCGGCCTCGGCCAAGATGTCCCGCTCGGCCTTGACGTGGGCCACCTGATTGCGGTCCAGGACGTCCTTCTTCCTCAGGGTCTTCATGGCGTACAGGGCGTGCGTGTCCACCTTGCAGGCCAGACACACCTCGCCAAAGGCACCGACCCCCAGGGTTTTGATTTTCACGAACATGGACTTGTCCATCTTGGCCCTCTTCAGTCTGTTGTAGTTGGACTCCTTCTGGTAGAGGATCTTCCGCATCTGCTCCTGCTCGGCTTCGCACAGGCCGGCCTGCGAGGAGGGAGCGGGGATGGGGAATCCAGTTAGACGGTCCAGGGACAGCCGGGGCCTGTGGCAGGGGACAGGCCCCAGGACCTGGAGGGCGCGCCCTCACTGTCCAGAAAGGAGCATGCAGGGGAATGGGCCTCACTCGCTGCGAGCAAGATCCCACGTGGCCTTCTTTACACACGTACACAAACACAAGCCTGGAATCCAAGGTCAAAGAAATACCAGGCCTCTGGATGAGTTTAAGCTCTAAAAATAAGGGATGCCTCCACTGGGACAGGACCACAACATTCCTGAAACTGCATGAGTCGCCTCATTGCTCAGGGAGAAATGAGAAAGAAGGAAAGAGAGAGAGAGCATTGGGGGTTGGTGCGGTGGCTCAACAAGCTCACCCTCCACCTTGCAGTGCTAGCATCCTATACAGGCACCAGTTTGTGTCCCGGCTGCCACACTTCCTTTCCAGCTCCCTGCTTGTGGCCTGGAAAAGCAGCGGAGGGCTGGCTCAAGATCTTGGGCCCCTGCACCCATGTAGGAGACGCAGAAGGTCCTGGATCCTGGATCGTCTGGGCTCTGGCCGTTGCGGCCACCTGGGAGTGAGCCAGCACAAGGAAGACCTTGCTTCCCGTCTCTGCTCTCTGAAGGAGCTACAATAGGAAGTGAGAGCACACGCTTGGTTTCCAGAATCACTGGCTTTGTGAACAACATTTAAACTCGAATTACTCACTGATAATTAGCTCCTAGGGCTAAACATTACTGACTACTTAAAGGATATGTGGATTACCACTACTACATTTTATCTTAAACAAACAAACAAAAAACCCCCACAAAATCCCAGAATTTCAATTGATCAAAACTAACATCTTGCTTCTGCTCTTTGAAACTAGTGTGTTGGGCCCAGCAGCGTGGCCTAGTGGCCAAAGTCCTCGCCCTGAACACACCGGGATCCCATATGGGCGCCAGTTCTAATCCCGGTGCAGCACCAGTTGTTGTGCTCACTTGGGGAGTGAATCATCGGATGGAAACTCTTCCTCTCTGTTTCTCCTCCTCCCGTATATCTGCCTTTGAACTAAAAATAATAATAAAAAAAAAATCTTTTTTTTTTTTTTAAGTACTGTGTTGGTACGCACACCTCGATGAGTTTTTAAAGAACCAGGGGAAAGGGGATGGGGAGAGGGAGGTAGCAACGTTTGTGACCTCTGGGGTGGCTGGCCCTGTCACCAGACCAAGTCCTGTGTGACCTGGGGACAGGAAGGTGGTCCTGCAGCGCCCCCCCCCCCAGCACCCGAGGGGCACCCAGGGGCAGCGGGGGAGGAAGGGGCTCACTTTGGCCATCTCTTGCTCTAGCTGCATCCTCCGGTTCACCTTCTGCTGGTAGGTTTTTATGACGTTCTCCACGTGCTGCTCCATGAAGAACTTGAAGGCGTAGGGCGAGTAGCTTTTGATGCGCGACTCGCGCTTCTCGGAATCGTCTCGGCTGCTCTTGCGCACGGGCACGGGTGACGTCTGGATCTGCTTTTTGTCCTTGCCCGCTTTGTCGCCCTTGACGCCCTTGTGGCTCTTGCTGGCCCTGTCTGCCGGCTCGGCCGCCGGGCTCCCTCGGAGGCTCTGCTCCATGCCGGCGCACAGGCCGTCCAGGTCATACTGCTCAGACTTGCCGGACAGCAGCAGGTGCTTCGGGTAGGGAGGGGGCAGACACCTGCGGTCGGCGCCGCCCAGCTCCAGGTCCAGCGGGTAGGTGCTGCCCAGGGTCAGGGCGTGCTCGTCCTTGGTGTCCAGGCTCTCTGCAGCCGGGGTGGGCCCAGGCACCCAGGCAGGGTGGGAAGGCCCCACGGCCGTCTGAGGCTCGGGCCTCAGCACCCGCACGCTCTTCACCGGGTGCAGGATGTGTGCGGCTGTGACGGCAGTGACAGTGTTGGGTGCGGGCAGGGAAGGCTCAGCCTGGACTGTTGGGCCGGCCCGTGGCTGCTGGCTGTTGAAGGAGTTGGTCCTGCTGGGCGTGGGGCCGTCCGGCCGGAAGCTCGTGTGCGGGCGCGGTGCGTCCAGGCCAGGATTCTGCAGGGAGTCACGGCGGGCCAGGGACGTGGCCGGCCATGCCTGCACAGGGGTGCCGCCTAGCTCATACAGCTCTGAGTTGAGGCTGTTTCTCGAGGGGGCTAGCAGACTCTGCGGGGGGCTGTCACCCGGGAACATCTGGCCCCGGGCGCCCATCACGTGCAGCTGGTGGCTGGTGGGGCTGGTCTGCTTGTGGTGTGGATGTGGGGTATACAGCGTGGCGCCGGGGCCCGGGAAGGTGAGGCCGGCACCTTGCGGGGCCCCCTGGCCTTTGGCAGTCAGGCTTGGGTAGCCCCCAGCCTCGGGTGGTGCCTTGTTCTGGAAAGATGGGCTGCGCTTCACGCCGCCGTACGCAAGCGGCTCTCCGGGAACCAGCAGGTGCGCGCGGCTGTAGTGTGAGGCAGGCAGTGGCAGCGCAGGACCTGCCGCGCCAGAGAAGTGTGGCCCGGCTGGCTCCACACCTGCATAGCCCTTGGCCGGGTGTGGGGGCCCGGGCATGCTGTGGGGTGCCGCCCCAGGGAAGAGGAAGTCCACATAGGGCCGTGGCACCTCCTCCAGCGCTGCGGGTCCCTCGTAGGCCGCACTGCCCAGCGGGTGGTAAGGTGGAAATCCGTCGCCTGCGCCCTCGAAGCTGGGCCTTCGCGTGACTGTCCCCGGGGGTGGCACCAGGCCCTTTCCTGCAGCAGAAAGGGAGAGTTAGTCAGGCAAATGGAAGCAGTCGGTGCGAGCAGCTCTCTGTCCCTACGAGCAACATCCTAGGGACCAGGTGGCTCTCGGGGCCTTCCGGGGAGGGACAGGCTGTGTTTGCAGCTCCTTTCTGCCCTGTGGGCCGACCAGCTGCCCTAAGGTGGCACCCTGGTAGAGGGTGGGGCTGGAATCCAAAGCCACGGGGAGGGCCAAGGGCAATGAAGAGGGAAGTGCTCCTGTCCGGGGGTGTCTTAAATGAGAAGGAGCCCAAGTCTGTCACTGTGGGGGTGCATGGACCTGCAGCCTTCTTTCCTCCAAGCTGCGGATGCTGGGGCTGGGCTCACCACGGTCACACTTCCCTGGAAGAAGTGTGAATCATGAAGGGGCAGAATCATGGCCACGGTCCAAGCGCCCACTGTTCCCTATTTTAGAAGTTCAAGATGTTTTGGACATTCCCCAAGTCCCTTTATTAAAACAGCTGATCTACAGCAACACTGCAGAAGCCATGAACATCTCCATAACTAATCAGATCGGTTTTAGCTGCGGCCTCCTTGACCCCGCCCCCGCACTGTGAAGGCCTCTCTTCTTTTTTTTTTTAAGATTTATTTATTTATTGGAAAGTCAGATATACAGAGAGGAGGAGAGACAGAGAGGAAGATCTTTCATCTGATGATTCATTCCCCAAGTGAGCACAACGGCCGATGCTATGCCGATCCAAAGCCAGGAGCCAGGAACTTCTTCCAAGTATCCCACACGGGTGCAGGTCCCCAAGCTTTGGGCCGTTCTCGACTGCTTTCCCAGGCCACAAGCAGGGAGCTGGATGGGAAGTGGAGCTGCTGGGATTAGAACCGGCGCCCATATGGGATCCTGGGGCGTGCAGGGCGAGGACTTTAGCCGCTAGGCCAGGGTGCCGGGCCCAAGGCCTCTCTTTTATTGAAGCGGCGCTGGGAAGGAAGGACGGATGCTCTCTGCTTTGGCCAGTCACTCTCCTCCCCTCTCCCAGACTCTTCCACAGCCCACAAGAAAGTAAAAGAGCATACTTATTAGTTTGTGGACTTCTCGATCTTTCAGAGAAAAGAATCCCTAGGGAGGACCCGGCACGATAGAGTAGTGGTTAAAGTCCTCACCTTGTACGCACCAGGATCCCATATGGGCGCCGGTTCTAATCCTGGCAGCTCCACTTCCCATCCAGCTCCCTGCCTGTGGCCTGGGAAAGCAGTCAGGGACGGCCCAAAGCCTTGGGACCCTGCACCCGCGTGGGAGACCCAGAAGAGGTTCCTGGCTCCTGGCTTCGGATCAGCTCAGCTCTAGTTATTGCGAAGTAACTCATCGGAGGGAAGAACTTCCTCTCTGTATATCTGACTTTCCAATAAAAATAAATAAATGTAAAAAAAAAAAAAAAAAGTAAAGAATGCCTAGGGAAGAAATGCTGTAGGCTGCTTTAGAGGAGGTGGGGTGGAGCGAGCACCGGGATTTATGGACTCCGGAAGAGCAGGCCTGGTTCAGTGCACCTGCTGCAGGAAGCAGGCCTGTGTCAACGGACGCACCTGACCAGGGCGCAGCTGGACCTTCCTCCTGCGACCTGTGGAACATCTCCACCCACCACACCGAGGCCTGGGCTCACCTGGGGAGGTCTGCTTGATGACCCGCACGATCTGCTCGTTCCTCGGATCCAGGTAGCCCATCTTACTGATGTACTCCAACGCGGCCTCTATGCTCCTGCTGCCTGTCTGCTTGAGCGCTCTGCCCGCCATCTCCTGGGAGGGAAGCACCGAGACGTCAGTGGCTCCTGCCCTGGTCCCCGCCGATGCACGGTGACACCATGCCCCTCAGGGCAAGGCTGGACCCACAGGCCCTGCAGCTGCAGGTGCCTTACAAACCCAGCATACACCACTCCATGGCCTAGTGATCCCAGGAAAAGAACACAGAGGAGTTATCAGGGTGGGTCAGCATCTCCTTAGCGAACTCTGTGTGGCTGGACTGGAAAGTCCAGGATGAACCTAAAAGGAACAAAGTTGAGCAGGAAGAACAAGTGCAGGAACCATGGGAACCTGGGTTTAATCCCAGCTCAGTTCCAGGCTGCCTCTGGGACCAGGAGTCCAGGCCTGGAAGGAGGGTGTGGCTTATAAAATGCTTGCTGGGCTCGGCGTGGTGGCGCAGTGGTTAAGGTCCTCGCCTTGCACGCCCGGGATCCCATATGGGCGCCGGTTCTAATCCCGGCAGCCCCGCTTCCCTTCCAGCTCCCTGCCTGTGTCCTGGGAAAGCAGTCGAGGACGGCCCAAAGCTTTGGGACCCTGCACCCGCGTGGGAGACCCGGAAGAGGTCAGATCATAGTATCGGCCGTTGCGCTCACTTGGGGAGTGAATCATCGGACGGAAGATCTTCCTCTCTGTCTCTCCTCTCTGTATATCCGCCTTTCCAGTAAAAAAAAATAATAATAATAAAAATAAATCTTAAAAAAAAAATGCTTGGGGCCCGGCGTGGTGGCGCAAGTGGTTAAAGGTCCTCGCCTTGTACGCCCGGGATCCCATATGGGCGCCGGTTCTAATCCCGGCAGCCCCGCTTCCCTTCCAGCTCCCTGCCTGTGGCCTGGGAAAGCAGTCGAGGACGGCCCAAGGCTTTGGGAACCTGCACCCGCGTGGGAGACCCGGAAGAGGCTCCTGGCTTCGGATCGGCATAGTATCGGCCCGTTGCGCTCACTTGGGGAGTGAATCATCGGACGGAAGATCTTCCTCTCTGTCTCTCCTCTCTGTATATCTGCCTTTCCAATAAAAAAAAAATAATAATAAAAATAAATCTTTAAAAAAAAAAAAAATGCTTGCTGACTGCTTGCGGCCGACAATGTCCTACTGCTGGGCACAGCTGCGACAGGCTCTGCTCCTTGGAAGGCAGGCCGTGAGCACAGGTGCCGAAACAGAAGGCAGAGGCTGTTCACAGGAGAGGGGCAGGCCGAGAAAGAGACTGACAATCTGGGAGAGGGAGCGCCACTTGGAAGAGGAGGGGTGGGGCTGCCAAGCGAGGGCCGTGGCACAGTGCACACGTTGTGGGAGGTGCCAGCACTGGCCCAGAGCATGCCATCCTCAGTGGGGGCAGAGGGCCCCACAGTGCAGGGAGGGCACACTCCCCACAGCCCCTGCACTGTTCTCCCCCAGGACAGTACCGGGCAGGGCCTGGAACTCCATGCTGTTCCCAGCTATACCCACGCACCAGAACAAACTATTTGCTTACAATCTGTATGCCTGCCCAATATTATCCCTGGCTGTATGGTGGCCAAGTGGCAGGGCAAAACACCCTGACTTTGCTTGGCTATCAACTGCGCCTTTGAGGCAGCAGGTGTGGGATCCTGCACCAGCGGGGAAGGAGCAGGGCCTGGGGCCGGCCTGGGGAGGTGGTTCTGGAGAGGAGTTAGGCTGGACAGTAGGCAGTTAGGGCATTCTGGGTATTTTCCCTACCATGTCTTAGATTCACCAGAGCACGTTTCTTCCAAGGGACAAGGGTGACATTAGCATATCAATTTCCTACCTGAATTATCAGCCCCATTCTGTCTCAGGCCATTGCCAAGGGGGAGGGCTTCAGACTGGCCTCTTTATCATTAGAAAGGGAACAAGGGAGTTGGCCAGTGACACCTTTCTGGCCTTTTGTCCCAAGGCCAGGTACCATGGAAACCGGGAATTTTCTTTGTTTATGGAGAAACATCTTTGAGGGGAACCTTTAAAAGATGCTTTCCCCAGCATTAATATGGGTTCTTCTTTTCCTCCTGCCAATATGGCAGGGGGTAAGGGTCCTTTCCATCTCAGAGCCCCCTCCTGTCACTAGGACGGGAGCCTCTCTTGTCAACTTTTCTAATAAATCTTGCTTTAAAACTAAACTGCGTCCGCACGAAAATTCTTCTTTCCTGCGAGACAAGAATTGAGGTTGCTGCCATACTCAGGGTCAAAAAAATATCCTACAAGTTTTGTCACCTGAGAGTGGGAGCACGGGTGGCAGCTTTGGGGCAAGATTGTGCAGAATCTGGAGGAGTGCAGAAGGCAGCGGGGGCTCAGCGGCGAGGCCCCGCCCTCAGCACCTGGAGGCAGGAGATAACCCATCACACCTCACTGCTTCATGGCCTTGCTATGCGATGAGGTCACGTCTGCGAAGGCTCTTAACAGCTTCGAAGAGACATGATAGAAGACCACATTGTAACAGGTTTTCCCTGGAGCTTCCAGCCCCTAAGAAAGGCGCTGGTCGGAGTCGACCCTGACCACAAGCCTCTCCATCAGCACTAATGAACCAGTTGCTTTGTCGGCAATGTGGTCCCGGACCCGTCTCCCCCTGGGTGAGTCACGGGCTGTGCGCATCAGCTCGGCGCCTGCCAACAGGGTGGGTGATGTCCCAGGGGGCTCTCCCTGCTGAGTGAGCACGGGCTGCTTCAAGCTGTGTGCGTTTACTGTGCTCCAAATCCAGTCACGTTTGGGAGAGAAACCAACAGGAGACCACAAGGGCAGCTCCACCTTCTCTGGCGTGTTCCAAGCCACAGAACTGAGATGCGCTCATGAGCCAACTTGCTTAAACACAAAGCCTTCCAATGACCCACGTTGGTCAAGGGCTGCCCCGCATCTGTCCGTCAGCCTGCATGCGGTAATTCGGCCTCTCAGAAGCGGCTTCCGCACATATTCTTACAGCTGTCCCCTGAGAGCCCTGAGAAACGGGGTACATTTCTAAGCACCTCAGGATCCTGGGCCTTGGGCAGGGCAGGAAGCTCAGGCTCAGGCACAAAGACCACACAGGGGAGACCGAGCAGCGGAAAGCATGGGCCACTGCTCTGTATTCTCGAGACAGAAACAACCATTCAGAGTGCCGGCCTAGAGTGCTGCGTGGCTCCTCGCCAAGGCAGAGGCAGGTCTGGGATCAGGAGCCAAGTGCCTGGCTCTTGTCTCCCGGGGCCATCGAGCAGCCGGGCGAGTCTGTACTTGCATCCGTGGTCGATCCCCTCACCAGTGAAGCAGGCTGGCAGGGCGACCTTGGGAGCGGGCTGGGGGAACCCTCCTTCTGCCAAGGACCGAGGGCGAATTGGAACATCCTTCACGGGCCACACAAAAGGATCTACTTAAACGTGAGCCAGCAACAGAGTGTTTGAATTCCCAGTACTTCCTGAGGCTGCCTTGGCAGGGCCAGCCTATGTGTGTCTGGGGCTCTTGGCTGAATGACCTCCACCCCTGCTGGGGGGCAACGCCCGTCTCAGCACTATTTGAGGGCTAGCAGTAACTGGTCCCCCCGCCCCAAGCAGCTCAAGAGTCTCCGGGGGGAAATGTGAGAAGGGTTACACCTGCAGATTTTATGTAGGCTAAACACTTAACATCACAAATGTTTTAATCTTTCATCCTTCTTACCACAATTGTATGAAGAAATACAAGTTCTCACCAAGCCCCAGTAGGCATCTTCGACTTATTTCAATTGACTTCAGGCTGCTACCTAAATGTTACCAAGATCTACGCACGTGAGAATGGACGAGGCAAGGGTGAAGCCAGAAACTGCAGGGAGCTGGATCAGGAGTGAACTAGCCAGAATGGAAACAGGTGCTCATGAGAGATGCTGGTGTCACGGGCGGGGTCACTAGACTAACCCACAACACGGTCCCTCCTCAGGTCCCTGGAAGGCACGGCTCCGGGGCCCTGTGTGATAGCCCAGTGGCTAAATCCTTGCCTTCCACGTGCCAGGATCCCATATGGGTACCAGTTCCCTCTCCCCTTCCAGCTCCCTGCTTGTGGCTGGGGAAAGCAACAGAGGATGGCCCAAGTCCTCGGGGTTCTGCCCCCACGTGGGAGCCCTGGAGGATCCTGGCTCCTGGCACAGAGAGGGATTTGAGAACAGACACACCTGGGTGTTACACTTCAAAGGTTTCTGCCATATCAACAGCTCCTGGAAAACTCTATCTTAGGCTTGTGGATTAGCTCTGAATGGAGTAGTTTTCAACTTCTGTATATTGAGTTTCTCTCAAGACATGTCCCCTTGTAGTTTTAGAAAAACATGGGGGATGACTTCAAACTGGGACTAGCTACAGTGAATTCTGGAAAACATGGGGTCTGCCCATACAAAGGCTGTGTGATATGGGAACTTAGCAAAGGGCATCAACCCACAGGCACGCAGGAAGGCGAGCTGTGGGGACTCCTCATGGCTGTTCCCACTCCAGTTGCAAAGCTCCGTGTGGAATCTCTGGCTGCTGGCACAGCCATGTCTCTCAGTTCAGCCCCCGTGGCCTGGCCCAGGCCTGCCAGGTGGCTCTGCCATGTACAAAGTGCGTGGGGGTGGCTGTGGGACAGGAATTGGCTCCTGCCCCTAGCACATGGCTCCTTAGGAAGGAGCCGGGACTGCTCCCAGTTCCTGTGCAGCACAAGGAACAACTTCATGGTACTACCACGTGACTGAGAGCAATTTAAATTCAGTGACAAATTATTAGTTATGAAGGAAGGCATTTCCTATGGAAATCCTGCCCCCACCCCTTGCTGGTAAGAAAGCATTTTTCAGATATTAATAACATTTTCACATTCCAACTGTGAAGTGTAGCTGAAACCCTAGGAATGTGGAGCTCCGGCCTTGCCGGGTCCAGGGCCCTCGCCTGGTGCCATGCCTGCTTCTCAGGATGACCCAGGCAGCTCCCATGCTGACGGCTTCCTCCTCAGATGAAGTCTTCACCATGCACACTGGGTGCTGCTCCACAGGCTGGGCAGCAGCTGTCCCGGGGACCTCAGGAACACAGCCTGGGCCACCCAGAGGG